GTAATCTTGCGTTTGCCCAAAAAGAAGCGAAAGAATTATAAAATAATTCAAAGCAATACTTATTATTTATAATTTGCAAATTATTTATTTATTTAAGTGACATAACTTGTTAATCAGATTAAAAAATTGCCTATTTTATAAATAAAATAAGTAAGTAAACTCTAAAAATAAATCAACCAGTGTATATTAATAAAGAGAGGTTATTAATTTTTTGGTAGTTTTTAGAAACATAAAAATTTAAATAATTAAGGTCATTTCTTCATTCACTAAATAAATTATATTCTGCTTTTAAAATATATTAAAATTTGGCTATTACAAAGCACATTATTTTTAAAATATTAAAAATTAGATTTTATACTTTGAAAGCCATCGAAATTAAATACTTTAAAAGATTTCTCTACAAATTATTTTTATGTTGTACGATAGAATGAATAACTTATTTAATTTACATGATTTGTTATGAAATATTAAACAAACAAATAAATTTAATCAGCAAATGAAATTGTTAAATAATATTGCTTCCTAATTGTGATCAGATAAAAAAGCTTAAATTCATCAGAAATTTAATTATCAACGATCTACAAGTAACTTACTTGATAGCAATTCTACTAAATTAAACCTTGAAACAAAAAAAACTTTGCTGTTGGTATTAACTCAAAACATGTCCTTATTTATTTATAAACAGCTAAACAGAAAACCATTTTTTAATAAAATTCTAGTTGGATAAAGAAATATTCATATTATGAACAGTTTTTCATTTTAGCTTTTAAAAAATAATAAAGTCGTGCTTTAGCCAAAAAATGTAAAAAGCAAGATAATTAATTAGACTAACTCAAAAAGAAAAAGAAATGAAAAAGTTTTTTAGTATAAAATTGATTTTATTGTTTGAAAAATAAGTAAAAAGCAAATAATTTCATATTTCTATATAAACTAGTGAGGAAATATTAATACATTTATTTATTATTCCACATTAGTTCTATTATATCTTTATCATTTAATGATATGTTGCATAGATAATTGTGTGAATAATATTTAGCAATTTAAGAGTTACAGCTTTATAAGCGCTGATAAATTTAAAATCATTATTAAAATAAAATAAAATAAAGCTCATCTTGGATAAGATTATGAAAATTCAACTTTTTTAGATACTATTTTGTTAAGTTTCTTATTACAAAGTTGTTTATTTGTTTAATTTTTTGAAATTATGATTGCTTTTTGTTTATAAGATTGAAGTCACTAAATCAAAAAATGAATTAAATAAAATGCATTTTTTACCTAAACAGTAGCTAGTTATCATCTTATGTCAAAAAATAACTTATAAAAATGTACTTGAAAATATTTATTTCACAAACAAAATATATTTAAATAGAGTTTAATAAATGGCTTTTGATGTGTCTAATAAAAAAATTTGTGTTTTTTTAAAAAAATAGTAAATAAATAAATTTCTTTCAATCTTTAAGAATTACTACAGAGCAATTTACATAATTTATTAATAATTTGTTGTTTTTTAATTCATTAATAAATGTTTCCTTTTACTCATTTTTAAGTTCCTAAAGAAATTTAATTTACTTTATTGCTAGCTAGACATTGAGTGGGTTAGTTAGTTTGTTATTAAGTCCCACATTTTTTCCTTTTTATTTTATATTAAGAAATTTCTTATGTAATATAGTTATCATAATTACTAGCTTGAAAGAAAAAATTGACTTTTCATTTTTAGATTTCAAAGTAGTTTTTAATCACTATTTTTTTCGCTGCCTATCTATGCTATTTTAATATCTTAATCCATTTGAAATTAAAAAATTCTATCCTCTCAATTTCGTTTTTAAACCCTCACTTCAATTAATCTTTTATATTAAAGAATGATTTGCAATATGTTTTCTTTAAATATAAATATAATCCATAAATCACAGGGGTATTTACAATTGATTGTTATCAAAGAATTTCAATACTCTTTTCAGATTTGAAACAAAAAATCTAAATTTTTTTGGAAATATAATGAGATAATTTCCCTCTCTAATAATATTTATAGGCTTTCAAATGTATTTCAAATTAAACTCAATAAAAACTACATCAAATTTCTATGTATTATCAATTAGAAATTTTTTAAGAAATAAATAATTTCATTTTAAAAGTCATTTTTTTGAAATTAATTAGCATATTCCTACTATAGTGACATAACAAATTTTATTTCCAAGTCTAACTAGAAATTTTGAAGGTAAGTTAAAAGGTAATTAAAAAAAAGTAAAATTGCCTTTTTTAACAAATTAATTTCTTTCTTTTTATAACCAACCAAATATACGCAGAAGCAGCAAAGTTTAATTATCAAATTCACACAAATTATTTAAATGAAAGTAAGATAAATTAAGACCAAGATCTATTAATAAAGCAAAAAGATCTACTATGTAAATTTGTTCACACAAATTATTTAAAAGAAAGTAAGATAAATTAAGACCAAGATCTATTAATAAAGCAAAAAGATCTACTATGTAAATATAGTTTTAAAAAATAAACATTATTTTTATCAAATTCTCTTTTTAAATTGTGAAAGAAATATTTTATTAGTTATTTTTAACTTTTTAAAATAAATATTATTTATTAAAATGCTAGACTTTGTTTTGTGTTTGCTTACTCTAAATTTTAAAAAACAAATTGATTAGAGATTCTTAAAGCAAAAAGAAAGTAATATATAACAATTATTTTGAAGAACAAATTGATTTAAAACATTCAGGAAATCATAACTATATTTTTGCATTTATGTATTTATTTGCCAAAATAAGAAGAAAGCTTAAAAGTTGTGTTTTAGAAATAATTATTTCTTTCATTTTAAGACTTTTTGTATTATAATATAATTGTAAAGATATGTATGATTTCTTTAGTTATTTAAGAAGAGTACCATTCTAAGTTCTAATAATCTAATTAAAATAAAATGATATATTCTTAGCTTTACCATTTATGGTTAAAATTTATCTTTATTTTGATGTCTTTATGTTAAATTTGCTGTTTCTAAACTGTTTATTATTCTACCATTTTGTAATCTATTATTATTTATTATATATTATAAACTCTCCGCTAAAATTTTTTTAGAATAAAAATGTATTGTTGTTTTTTATTTAAATAATATTTTATTTGGAATATTCTTTAAGCTTTAAAATGAATTATTTTATGATAAAAATAAATATAAATGCAGTTAAGCTTACAAAAAGTTATGGAAGTAGAAATAAAAAAAGGGCTTTTAATATATGAGTTTGAAGATAAATTTAATTAAATTTACAAAATAAATTATACAATTAATAAATAAAAGCTTTCTTTATCTAAAATTTAAGCACAATTTTTCATTTTGATTAACTATTCTTTTTAATCGTTTAATTCCTATCAAAAAAAGAATAGAAAATTGCTTATTTTTCATTAGTTTTATTCAAAAATATTTTACATCAAAATTTAATTAGTAAATAAAATATTAAATGCTATTTATTATGTAAAAGTGAAGCAAATTTAGTTCCATAAAACATTAAAAGCTCCTAATTTTTATTTTTAAATTGTATAGTATTTACAGTTTAGTTATCATAATTACTAACCAGAAAAAAAAAATTGGATCTTCTTTATTAGAATAGAAAGTATTCTTTGATACCTATTTTATAAATATTCTTTGTACTTAATCTATGCTGTTTTAATCTCTTAATCCATTTGAAATTATTAAACTCTAAATTCTAAATTTCATTTTTAAATAAATAAATTAACTCCAACTCTCAATCCATCTTTTATGGTAAAGATTGATTTACTATTAAATTGTAAAATATTTTCCTTAAATATAAAGCAATCCATAAAATAGAAGGGATATGTATTTATGATTGAATAATCATTATTAAAGAATTTCATTATCATATTTGGATAATCTAAAAAATAAATAATAAACAAAAAATAATAATCAATTAAGAGAGAAAAAAAGTCATCTAAATCAGAAAATGAAACTTCAAAATAAATATCAAGTTTTTAGTTAAAAGACAAAAATGTAGGAAAAATATTTTTATATCGAATAATTTTTTTTATATAGATCTTCAAATAAATAATAAATATTATAATTATTCAACCAATCAGATAACCATATTTGAAGTAACTTACTATGATGACAATATTTTAGATCAGAAAGTTAAATGCCTTTTTAATTTGGAAAGGCTATCTATACTATTTAATATTAAATGAAAATAAATTTTGACAAATTTTTTAAGATATCTCAAAAAAATTAATTTTTTAAATTAAAAATTACACTGAATTAGAAGGTTTTAAATTTATTAAATATTATCAAATCTTTAATCCTATCCAAAGAAAAAAGTTAATTTAAATTAAAAAAAAAATAATTCTAATTTATTTGTGGTTAAAGTTTTCATAAAATTTATTTGAGCCACAAGCATTTTTACGCTAACTATATATTTATGTTTAATAATTAATTTGCTTTATTTGAGTTACTTTCAAGTATTAGAGTATAGATTTTTTATGAGTTTATTCTAAAATTAAAATAATCTTGATTAATTTCTTCAAATAATCAAATCTAAAGTGTGAACAAAAAATGAATGGAAAAAATAAATATATTTAACTAACTAAAAGATGTGTCTAATATTTTAGATTTTTCTTTTATAAATAAAATAAATACAGAAAAAATAAATAAATTTATGAGTTAAGTAAAATTATTCATTCTAAATCTTTGTCGTCTCTCCAAATAATTATTAATATTAAATAATACGTAAATAAATTAATGTATTAATCAAAAATTATTTGATTATGATTGATGACGGATGATGAACAATTTTATTATATTTTCTTTTATAAAAAAAGCATTAAAAAATAGAAAAAAATAAATAAATTGAATTTTTTCTGAATTATTTATTTTTTTATTTAATTGATTGAAAAAGAGCAAATTTAATTGCTCTAATTATTATAATTATTAATTTCTAAAAAAAATCAATAAATTGAGATTTAATCAAAAAAAAAAGAGATAAAAATAAATGAATTAATTAAATAAAAGGAATATTAATTAACTAAATTAGAGTGATTTAAGTAATGAAACATATTATTTAAAAGAAGAATCAAAATAAAAAAATTTTCATAAAAGAAATTGGTAAAACTTCATATCAAAGATAATCGTTTTTCTTCTTGTCTTTTTTACTTACATTTAATTTTACATCCAAATAATACTGATTATTAAGGTAATTAATTATTCTCTACTTTCAATAATATTTTAATGCTAATTTTTAACTTTATTAGGATTTTTATATCTATCTTGAAATATTATGGCTATACTTTATTTTGTTGCTTATCTATTTAATTTACTACAGAGATAAAACATAAATTACACTTGAACTTCGTATATTATTTAGTCTGCCAGGCGTTGTTTCTTTACAAGAATATTTAAATCATGATATAAAATTTAGCTTTTTTGATAAAATGTTTTTTAGAAACTTATTGTTAAATGGTTTCATCATTTTTTACAATATGTTTTTGGAATAAAATGCTTTGATATAAATTTCTACTTCATGGTTCTATGTTTAAATCTATTTTAGATACAGAGACATATCAAAAAATTTAGATAATTAAATACTTTAAGAATTGATATAAGAAAATTATAAATAAACGATTGATATTATCTATCCTTTAGCTGATTCTTTATTATGGTCATAAATATTATAAAATGCGGTTAATGAATAATAAGAGTAAAAAAATATTGTTTTTTAAGCTTGCTTATATGTAATTAAAAATGCTTTTCTTGTCTTTACTTTTATTTTTATTTATAAATGCTATAAATCTTAATTTTTGTCCTTAACGAATTTAAGATTTTCTGATCTAAAAATATTTATTATTCCTAAAATCAAAGAATACTCATATGAATTAAACTAACAAGTTTAGCATACAGTTTTCTTTTAATATCAGTATCACTTATTATTAGCAGATAGATTATATTAATTAATCATTTTTCTTGTTTTAACTTCTTAGAATAATAAAATTGAATATAAATTTGGTTTCATATTTTCTATTTCCTTTAACTTATTCTGCTTACTAAATAGTTTTAGGTCACTAAAATAGTAAAAATTTGATTTTTGTCATTTAACTAAGAAGGAATCTTCTAGATATTAAATAGAATGTTTAAATAAAGTAAAGAAAATATTCATTACTTATGATTTATTAAGCAAATAAAAAGCATTAGAAATACTTACAAGCTAATTTAGTTAATCAGAAATCTTTATAATTAATAAAAATTTTGAGTTTTTTAGGACATTCAATTAAAATAATTCATATTAGATAATAACTTTAGATAAAAATTTTTTTTATAGAAAAGACTAATAAAATTTTGAAATCTAAAATAATTTGAATGAATAAATTAGTTAAATAGAATTTAATGACCTATTTTTATCTTAAAATTAATTTATTAGACCATAATATGCTTATGTTGAAATATTTCGTGCTTTATCGAATGCCAAATATTTTATTGAAATTAAAGTAAAAGGTAACAAAGAGCATTTAAGATAATTTAATGATTTTAAATAAAAATACTATGATTAGATGTTTGTTTCTTTCAATAAAAGTGTTTTTTTATAAATTATTTGCTTTATCGACTAGATAAAGGATTTAACGATAAATCCTAATATGGTATTTTATGATTTATTTGAGAGTTTAATATGAAATTAATTTTAGTAATGTATATTTTATTTCCATGTATATTAAAATAAAAATTTTTTTCTATTATCTATCTATCCATTTATCATTAATTCTTTTTGTTTTGATTTTTAGATATTTTTTTAAATGTTTATTGATTTTTTAAAGTACAAACTAATTCATGCAAATACTATAATTTAAAAATTTTAAATAAAAATAATATAATTAT